TGCTGGTGCTGGTGCTGGTGCTGGTGCTGGTGCTGGTGCTGGTGCTGGTGCTGGTGCTGGTGCTGGTGCTGGTGCTGGTGCTGTTGCTGTTGCTGGTGCTGTTGCTGTTGCTGTTGCTGTTGCTGTTGCTGTTGCTGTTGCTGGAGCTGGAGCTGGAGCTGGAGCTGGAGCTGGAGCCATGATCCTTTTACTATGAGCCAGGAGCAAAGAGGAGGGTATGCTAATCACACCACATGGGATTTCGATGTCTTCTTCCCTCTCAAGAAGAGAGTGCAGACTCTCTTCCCTCCTCTTAGCAAGCCGCGCTTGCTGCTGCATCCTCCACAACAGAAGAATCTGGATGCTAGTATTACAATTAAGTACAGGGCTCCACGCGCCAACCATCAGCATTGTTTCTCTTTGTTCCTTCTCTTTGCTGTCAAAGAAAAGATGTGCTTTTTTCTTCCTTGACACTTGAATCGGTTTGCCGCCTGTTTAGGGCGCGCCAGCTCCCGAGACTGCTCCTCCCAAGACTGGAAATGTTTAAGTCAAGGATTCCAATAAAAAAATATGTCAATTACATGAATGTTGGTAGTAGTGGGCCCACCTCTTCCAAAATTTATGTTTTTTTTACATAAACCGAGCCAGGCGTGCCAAAAAGTACACAGATATATGTTTTCGGGAATGACCCATTGTGTCCTCATTTTGATTTTCCTGAAGATGTGTAGTTGTATTGTTGGGCCTATGTAGGATTGTGTGCAATTAGTAATGCTACATTACTCTAACTAGTACTTGTTGCTGTACTTTGCTAAGACCACTAGTAGTACAACTACTACTAGTACTAGTATGATAATTAGGTCTTTTGCAGTTCACTTCAATTGCTGGAAGTTGAACTGTCATCATTCATCCAGCCAGTGGCATAAAATGTATTTTGTGGAAGAAACTGTTATCTTTCAAAGAAACAGCGACTATTGGCTCTTTATATTTTCTGGAAGAAACAGTTTATAGAGCCTAAAAACATCCATTCATTTTGCACTATGGTCTATGTTAAAAAAAACTTCATACCAGATTTTTAGGTTTTCTAGTACCCCCTCAGACTCCCCTTTCCATCAACAATTTCAGTCAAGAAAAAACTATTCTAGTATTTTTTTCTTCTCGACTTCCATGATTGTTATTGCTGGTCATCCGCTGTTGCCTGAGCTTTGGTTGCAGCAGCAGCATTAGCAAGCACTTGTTGACCTTGCATCATGGTGATAAAATCCAAAACGCAAATGATAGTACAGGCTTTTTCCATATGAGGAAGTTTGTAATAGTTCTCACCACTGATACAAAGTGATGCTTCCATGCAAGCCTGAAGGGATAAGAAGGCATTATCCAATGTCTCCTCAAGTTTGCACTTGCCAAATACTTTCTCAACATTTTTGATCAAATGATAAATATTCTTCAACCACCATTTCTTGTACTGTAAACTTTGGATGGAGTTAAAAAATCCAACGTCAAGTACATTCAAATCTGGACTGTTGGGTGGTTGAGTTTGAACAGAAATAGTATTCCAGCCTTCTGTCCTTATTGCAGCAGCTGCAATTGCATCCCTAATATATGAGTGTCCCAACCACTTAACACAATCAACATAAGTGTAAACACATTGTTTGGATCTAGAAAGTACAAAAAGAAGCATTCCAATTGCCCAAATATTCTAATATTAAAGGTCCTTGTGAGACACATTTAGTGAAATAGAGGAAGTAGAATATTAATGGAAGTCAAAACAGCAGAATTACAAGTACAGAAATTGTCTAGTTTCTGAAAATATTCTTGCATCCCTTTCTCATCACCTCAACAGAAAATTTTCACATTCTTCAACTGCACTCCAGTTACCATCACATGTTGTTAGATCCTCATATAAGGCAAAAACTTGTAGAATTAGTTGAGTGGTATTGCTACTTATACTACCAGTAGTACTATAAAAAAATACCAATACTACTACTAGGAGTTCTAGTAGTACTATTATTAGTACTAGAGCAGGTGCTGGCAGACTCAACATACCAGCTCTTTTGTTGTCTAACTAAATTGTTACTAAAAAATCTAAACTCTTCTGGTTATGTGGTGTTTCTGCACACTGTGCGATTAGTTTAGACGATTCAGTCGTAGTCTCTTTCAGGAAGGTGAAATAGTAACTTTATCACAAATTGTATTATTCGAATCAGCAGTACTTATACTGGTAAACTACGTGCTTGGTAAATACGATTCGATACGTGCCGGAGCTTATGAGACAAGTATCGAGCCAAAGATACTTCCAGTAGGCTCGCAGCCTCTGGAGATTCATGAAAGAGCCGTTTGTATGCAGCTCTGTCAAGACTGTAAAATGTGCATTCGTCATCGCAGCGTGCCGTTGCCAAGTGGCATTCGTCCAGAATCAGGCTGCGCAATCCCAAGAAGGACCCAAGCGTCATTTTTGATTGGAACCGGAAATCGTCATCTTCATCCTCGTCCTCCACGAAGGCATAGACAGCTCCCTGTACAAAAAGCTTGGCGGAATCTCCTCTGTCTCCCAGGTTCCATATGATGTTTCCTTTTGGCAAAGTCTCGCTGCATCACGACATTAACAAAAGGGACAATGTATGTTAGGGTCAGGAATCAGTAGAGCGGAAAAAATTGCACATAATGAAAAGAAATATAAAACATGAGCACCCTTACCGTTTCATACCATCAACAATGATTTTAATCAAGCCAGTATCTTTCACGTTGCAGTATTCTTTTAGCATGTTGATTGCCATGGCTCGATCTGGGTCATCAACCTCCTCATCCTCACCAATGAAGGTAAAAGGCTTGGGGATTGTCATTTTAGAGATTGGAATATTGGCCATAGATAATAACTTGTCCTCGCACATAGCCAATGCTTTGTCCAAATAATCGAAACATGTGCCACAAATTTGAGTCAGATGCTTTTGTTCATTGTCATTGTCGAAAG